ATATTACTGTTAAGATGCAAAATAAACAGTCTCCTAAATGGTCATATACCTTTATCTGCCTTTGTGTCTGAACCACTTTAATTTTAAAGAAATACTAGAGGAATGAACTAAGGATCTTTACTATATCTGCAGAATGCCACAGAAACCCAATAGGCAGCCTTCCAGCTGTTGTTCTGTCCTGTTCCTATGCTCTTTTTTAATTTAATTTATTGAGGTACAGTTTACATACATTAAATGCATGTTTTTAAATCTCCAGTTCTGTGAAAGGGAGAGGAGATGTCATGGGAACACAGATAAGAGAAAAGATATAACCATCTCCATATCATAGTATCAGAGAAAGCTTCTTTGTGCCTCAAGTGAACAATTGAAACCTAACCTCCCTTCATTCTGCCCCATGTATATTTGTTTAATATTTCTCTACATTTAGAACCACAACAGGGAAGTGTTACAATTTTTGCTTCAGCCATCAAACAGTTTAGAAAATTCCATACAAGTATTCCAGTGTGTTGTATTTACCCATATTTCTGCTTTAATATGTTCCTAACATGGTTTCTTCCTTTATTGTTTTCTTTCTGTTTAGAGACCTTCCTTTAGCCATTTCAGGGTGACACATTTTCTTCGTTCTCCTACATCTAAGAATTTTGATTTCTCCTTCACTCTTAAATACTTTCACTAGGAATAGGATTCTGGGTTGACAGTTCTTCTCTTTCAGCACCTGAAAGATATTATGCCTCTTCTTCTGGCCTCCATGGTTTCTGATGATAAATCTGCTATTGTTTGAATTGCTTTTCCCATATGGGTATGGTGTCATTTTTCTCTAGCTGGTTTCAAGATTTTTTTCCTTTGTCTTTGGTTATCAGAAGTTTAATTATGATATGTCTTTCTTTGGGTTAGCTTATGTAGGATTTATTCAGCTTCTTGAATATGCAGGTTTATGTTTCCGCCAAATTTTGGAAATTTCCAGCTATTTTTCCCCCAGTACTTTTCAGCCCTGCCATCTTTCTCCTCTCTTTCCAAGACAGCAGTTACACAAATGTTAGATCTTCAGTTAGTTTCACAGATCTGCTTCAGATGACTGATAGAATTCCAACATATAAAGCATATAAGATTTTTTTTTTCCATTCTTTATCATGCTTCGAAGTCTTAGAAGTGACTTTTTAGAAGTAATTCATTATGACTTTTTAGCCATAATAAATCTTAATGACAACATGATGTGGTTAAACACACTAGTTTGATGGTAGCTATGCATGACATGATCTTAAACTTTGGACAAGTTGAGAGATGCCAGAAATGGCACACAGGTTGGCAAGAGTCTATTCAGCCTTATAGAAACCAAAGCTAAAATGCTAGAAGCCTTACTTTGGAGCTTCCCTGCTTTCCACAGGAGTTATACTTTACAAAGCTAAAAACAACCATTTTATGGTAGTAGCTTGGGTCCTCTAGTTGGCTAACTTGAAACAGTATCACTGCAAAGATTTCCCGACCCAAGCAAGAATTAGAAAATGTGACAAAGACCAAATTAAGTGAGAGGTCACATCAAATAATTGTTAAGCAGGAAATGTTATTGGACACCTACTATGCTGATATTTTAAATTTTCAATTTAAATACATTTTAAAAATAGATGCAGTTGTATGTTAAAGGATGGAATTTTATGATATTTGAATTATATCTTATAGAGCTGTTACAAAAAATTGTGTGCATATTTCATCTTGTTTCATTTTTTTAATGAGAAATTCCTCAATAAATTTATGAAGAATATATACTTAACTTCAAATATCAAGGTTTCTTTATTCATTTACTACTGTCTATACTTTGGAATTGTGTTAATTCTTAGGAAAGAAATCAAAAAGGTAGAACACTGATCTGTAGTATTTGTCATGTTATGGTCTTTGAAAATGGTAAAATTGAAATTTGAAAATTCAAATTTGAAACATTTGAAAATTGGTAAAAGGTTCAATAGCAGTCTTTTGTTTTTTGTTTTTTTCTTTTTAGTCATGTTGGAAGCCTCTGCAGAGAATATTTTACAGCAGGACTTTTGTCATGCTATCAAAGTGGGAGTAAAACATACACAGCAAATAATTCAGGGCATCCAGCAGTTGGTAAAAGAAAATGGTGTTACCAAGAGGACACCTCAGAAGTTATTTGTCCCTTCGCCAGAGATTGTCAAACACGCTCATAAGTAAGAACATCTGTACAAAAGAAAATATGAAAGTATCACAAGATTTAATTTCCTCTCAGAAATAACGTCTCATGGAAGCACTGTCCATGTATTACTTCCTAAATACCAGCATTCTATTTTAAGAGTCACTGCCATAAATAGCAGTCTAATGCTTTTAAAAGGATAAACCTACATCTCTTCAAGGACCTAAGTTTAAATCTCAAAGGAAAGGGGAGAGTGAGTGTCCTTGTCAAAATTAAGATAATTCTCCTCTCTCTCTGTCAGGGAAAAAGAGTATAAAGCATAAGATACTTGAATATCTAAGGAAACTGTTGAGGTTCTCAAAAAGAAATACACCTCCACAATATGCCCAGTCCTTATAATAGTGCCTGTATGTAAAGTACTCAGTAAATTTTGAATGAATGACCAGAGAATTATTTCATTTGAAACAAACTGAAAAAGTTAATATTTCTCTTAGTATGAGTCTCACAGCCATTACTTAGAGATTAGAGTTTTAACACTACCCAATCAAAGGATTACCTGCAATAACAGCCAAAATGCATAGGAAAAAAAAAAAAAAGGCAGCTGGTTCCATGACAGTGAGCGAAGAGAGAAAAATCTAAGATGAAATTAATTGAACAATTACGGGAAGGTATGTGTGAGTGATTCCCCTAATATGTGAGGAGAAAGAAATTTGTGTTCTCCTTTTCTTGTGACTCAGCTGGTAAAGAATCAGCCTGCAATGCAGGAGACCTGGGTTCAGTCCCTGGGTTGGGAAGATCCCCTGGAGAAGGGAACAGCTACCCACTCCAGTATTCTGGCCTGGAGAATTCCATGGACTGTATAGTCCATGGGGTTGCAAAGAGTCGGACACAACTGAGTGACTTTCACTTCATCATAAATAGTAAACAGATTAACAGTGTTAGAGAGCAATAAATACATATTTTTAATTATGAAATGTTAAGTATTTTATCCTGTTAAATATTTCAGTCTTGTTTATAATAAACACTGCCTAATGTTTCTACATATTATGCTGACCTTTACTTTTTGCTTAAAATAGACTCACCATGGAAAAACTCTACACAGTTTTTACAGATCATGAACATGATAAAGTAGGTATACCTGAATTTTATTTATATAATTGTTCTGGAATTCTTTTTTGTCATAGCTCACACAATTTTGTTTATGAATATGTCATATTTTTATGACAAGGGGAGTATGTGAATACATGAATTAAACAGGTAATATTTTGTACAAATCAATAACCAGTTGCAATCTTTTAAAGACTATTACCATTAGGGAAATCTGATTAATATTACAATGTGTTAATTGTGTAGTAATTTAAAAAATATAAATGTTTAATACAAATGCCATATATAACAGCTGAACTTCAACTTTCTTTTAGATTTCCAGAGATGAAGCTGTTAACAAGATTAGATTAGATACAGAGGAACAACTAAAAGGTAAATTTTTTTTTTTTTTTAGTTTAAAAAAATAAAGGAAATAATAGATTTTAAAATTTCAGTTGTTAAGAGATCAGTTATTCTTGTTACTCCTTAGTTTTATCTTTAGTAAACTTGTGATAATGATACATCCTGAAGTTACTGTTAAACTGACTTCTTTGAATGGATAAGAACTGCACCTGACCCAAAGTGAGCACCAATAAATGCTGAGTATGAGGTGTTCCTAATCTTTTCTAGATCAAACTCTTATACTCCAAAATGGGTACCCTTGTATCCTGTCCTATGAAAACCTAAAAGATACTCTTTAAAATTCTTCTTTAATTTATAAAATTGCAATACTAACATAGTTTGTGAGGATTGAATGAATAAACCATTTACATCTGTGCCTGGCACATAGCAGGTGTTCAGTAAACAACTGATGTTATTAACATGTGGAATTATAAAATTTAGATTTTAGAGAATCTTTCTCTCTAAAAATTATTAAACAAAAGGATTTTATTGCTAAATAGCAGTCACACAAACTGATGTGTACCACGCATGACATACAGTTCTTGTTAATTTTTCTGCTAATAGACAAACATCCTCTTACCTGCATATCTCAAGACAAAAATTTTGCTGCTAGCATCAATATTAAAGCCATTATGTATTTCTTTAATTATCTATATCCATTATCTATATCTGTAATTGCCACTGATAAAGTTTGGTTTTTTCTCACTCTGTTTCATCCTATTAAGGATTAGAAGTAAGTCAAATAGAGAAGGAGAAATAACATATGACATCCCTTATATGTGGAATCTGAAAAGAAACGATACAAATGAACTTATTTGTAAAACAGAAAGAGACTCACAGACTTAGAGGATGAACTTATGGTTGCCAGGGGGGAAGGAAGGAGGGAAAGGATAGTTAGGAAGTTTGGTTTGGACATGTACACACTGCTGTATTTAAAATGGATAACCCACTACAGTATTGTAAAGTAATTAGCCTCCAACTAATAAAAATAAATAAATAAATAAAATGGATAACCAACAAGGACCTACTGAATAGCAAATGGAACTCAGCTCAGTGTTATGTGGCAGCCTGGATGGGACGGGAGTTTGGGGGAGAATGGATACATATATGCATAGCTGAGTCCCTTCACAGTTTACCTGAAACTATCACAACATTGCTAACCAGCTGCACCCCAATACAAAATAAAAAGTTGGGGAGGGGGGTAATGCCAAAAAAAAATGAGTAGAAGTTGTATAACACCAGCTGCCTTATTTAAAAAGAAAGTGATTTTAATAATACATAGTCTTGGGGCTTCCCAAGTGGCGCTGGTGGTAAAGAACCTGCCTGCCAAAGTATAAGACCTAAGAGATGTGGGTTCAATTCCTGGGTCAGGAAGATCCCTTGGAGGAGGGCATGGCAACCCACTCCAGTTAAAAAAAGAAAAGTAGTAATAATAATACAGAGTCAAATACCTTCATGACTATCTGGGTTCATAGGATAATATTTTAAATGTTTTGTTACTAATTATTTTTCTAAATGCAACCTAAAGTACAAAAATTAATATTATAAATTATTCCTGTCTGAAAAAGACACAATATAATCTCTCTGTGGCCATTTCTTATGTTCTGGCCACTTTCAAGTTATATTTAATAAACCAAATGCTTAGGAGAACAGTGCTTAGAACTTGGTATGAATTAACTACTAAGGTAATAGATAAAGTAGCTTAACATTTAAAAGCATAAGCCTAGGCAGACATCTTTATTCAGGTCACAGCTGTCAGTTACTACCTGGGTGATCTCAGGCAACTTGCTTCTCTTCAGGCCTGTTTTTTCTTCTGTAAGACAGAGATAACAATAATAGCATTTATCTCACAGATTCCTATAAAGATTAAAGGTATTTAAATAAAAACATGTAAAATACCTGGGTTATGAAAGAACTTGATAAATGGTAACTAAAAACTAGTCAGCAGGGGGCTTTCCTCACTGATAAAAGAATCTGCCTGCCAATGCAGGGTACATGGGTTCGACCCCTGATCGGGGAAGATCCCACATACTGTGAAGCAACTAGGCCCATGCACCACAGCTATTGAGCCTGTACTCTAGAGCTCAGAGGCCACAACTGCTGAAGCACTCACTCCCTAGAGCCCATGCTTCACAACAAGAGAAACCACCACAACTAAAGAGTAGGCCCTGCTCGCCACAACTGGAGGAAAGCTCATGCAGCAACAAAGACCAAGCACAGCCAAAAATAAAGAAAGAAACGAAAATCTATTAAAAAAACAAAAAACAAAAACTAGTCAGTGGGGATTTGTAATGTATAAAGAAAATTATTCCTTTATTTGTGGACTAAAATAAAAGTTCCTAAGGCAAAACAGTGGAGGAGACTACTCTTAAAAATATCACTTAAATCTTCTCATAAAATGGTTGGCTCGATATGTCAGATAACAATGAAATAGCTGATTTTAAAGCACTATTGCTCTGGTGGAAAGCAAACTCAGTTCAGTTCAGTCACTAAGTCATGTCCAACTCTTTGCGACCCCATGAATCGCAGCATGCGAGGCCTCCCTGTCCATCACCAACTCCCGGAGTTTACTCAAACTCATGTCCATTGAGTTGGTGATGCCATCCAGCCATCTCATCCTCTGTCATCCCCTTCTCCTGCCCCCAGTCCCTCCCAGCATCAGGGTCTTTTCCAGTGAGTCAACTCTTCTCATCAGGTGGCCAAAGTATTGGAGTTTTAGCTTCAGCATCAGTCCGTCCAGTGAACACCCAGGACTGATCTCCTTTAGGATAGACTGGTTGGATCTCCTTGCAGTCAAAGGGACTCTCAAGAGTCTTCTCCAGCACCACAGTTCAAAAAAATCAATTTTTTGGCACTCAGCTTTCTTCACAGTCCAACTCTCACATCCATACATGACCACTGGAAAAAACCATAGCCTTGACTAGATGGACCTTTGTTGGCAAAGTAATGTCTCTGCTTTTTAATATGCTACCTAGGTTGGTCATAACTTTCCTTCCAAGGAGTAAGCGTCTTTTAATTTCATGGCTGCAGTCACCATCTGCAGTGATTTTGGAGCCCAAAAAAATAAAGTCAGCCACTGTTTCCCCATCTATTTGCCATGAAGTGATGGGACCAGATGCCATGATCTTAGTTTTCTGAATGTTGAGGCTTAAGCCAACTTTTTCACTCTCCTCTTTCACTTTCATCAAGAAGCTTTTTAGTTCCTCTTTACTTTCTGCCATAAGGGTGGTGTCATCTGCATATCTGAGGTTAGTGATATTTCTCCTGGCAGTCTTGATTCCAGCTTGTGCTTCTTCCAGCCCAGCGTTTCTTATGATGTACACTGCATATAAGTTAAATAAGCAGGGTGACAATATACAGCCTTGATGTACTCCTTTTCCTATTTGGAACCAGTCTGTTGTTCCATGTCCAGTTCTAACTGTTGCTTCCTCACCTGCATATAGGTTTCTCAAGAGCAAACTAGGTTCCCATTAATGGTACATTTAAGGTATAATAGTTGTGTCTCTCCTACTTAAAAACTTTTGCTTAGAGGACTGTTCAGTCAGCTCCTTTGGCTCAATTCCATAGTTAATTGATTTGACACTGTGAACTTAAAGAGAAATTTTATCTTCCAAAAAGAGAACATCTTTGTTTTGGTTTGTCTTTCTTCTACAGAAAAATTTCCAGAGGCTGATTCCTATGAAATAATAGAATCCTTCAATGTTGCTACAAAGGATGTTTTTAGAAGTATTATTTTGAATGAGTACAAAAGGTAAACATATCCTTTTTTTTTTTTTAACATATCCTTTTTTGATGGAATTGAAGCATGTACTCTCTGCAAATTTCCTTGAAAGTGACAACTAGCTGAAAGCTAGAAACTAGGATTTTTTCCTTCAGATAACAGGAAGCCATTATAATGTTTATTTTATAAATGGATACCTGTTGACGAGTGTGTGAATTCTGTCGATATGTTTTGACTGTCTCTCTGTAGGCTTCATGTGTAGAGCATTGCTTCAGAGCCATGACTGCATGTCAGAGTTACCTGCATAACTTTTTAACAAGGGTATGGGTCACAACCCCTGAGATTCTAATTCAGTGGGACTTAGGATGGGGCCAGGTATCTATATTATTTTTTAAACTTATGCAGGTGGTTATGATATGCAGTTCAAGTAGAGAACGTTGTGGTAGTGATCAAGAGATAATATGTGATTTTTCTGACTTACAACACTGCTTTAAATAAGTATTTCCTTTATTACTATAGGTGTGACGGTCGAGATTTGACTTCACTTAGGAATATAAATTGTGAGGTAGATATGTTTAAGATTCTTCACGGATCGTCATTATTTCAGAGGGGACAGACACAGGTAATATATGTAAAAAGCTACAATTATTTGCTAATACATGATTGTTTAGTTCTAATAGAAGTACATTTATGTAGGTTTTTATCATATGGAATATATTATCTATTCAGAATAAGATCTGATTTTTTTAAAATATGTTTAAAGATAATGAACATATCAGTTGCCCCAAAGAATTTCCTTGTTGCTGTCTGGTCTCTTGTTCCTGCTCCCCTCCCTTTCCTTAGGCAACTTTCATCACTGCGAATTTGTTGCATTTCTAGAATTATCTGGTAGTTTTATTACATTTTTCTTTTAATCTTAGGTATACGAAATTAAGTCACTCATCTCTCTCTTTAGTCACTAAGTCAGTCACTCATCTCTCTTTTTCTCTTTAGTCGCTAAGTCATGCCCAACTCTTGCAACCCCATGGACTATAGCCTGCCAGGCTCCTCTGTCCGTGGGATTCTCCAGGCAAGAACACTGGAGTGGGCTGCCATTTCCTTCTCCAGGGGATCTTCCTGACCCAGGTCTCCTGCACTGCAGGCAGATTCTTTACCAACTGAGCTAAGAGGGAAGCCCAACATTTTTTTTGGCTGTACCATGTGGCATGTAGGATCTTAATTCCCTGACCAGGGATTGAGCCCCTGTCCTCTTCATTGGCAGTGTGGAGTCTTAACCACTGGACCACCAGGGAAGTCCCAAGTCACTCATACTCCTCAGTTTATGATATTGTCACTGTTGGTCTATTCCAGGCTCTCACTTGTTTTCTCCATTTAGCCTGAACCCAGTCCTATTCTTTTCCTTTACATAGGCACCTGTTCTCTTATATTTAACATATATTTGTATGCATTGTTTCATGTATGGTGAAATGCTTTAATTATGTAAATCACTAATTTTGCCCACCTAATGGGTACAAAGTGGTATGTCATTGCTTTCATTTGTATTTCCTGATGAAGGATGAATGAATCTCTCTTTATATGATAGCCAATTAACATGATAACTGTATAAACCATACCCTGCGGGGTGCATACCTCCAGGGCACTCCTATAGACAGTGTCTCAACACCATAGATAGAGTTCAGCAAAGTGGTAGCCCTAGTTTAGGTTTGCTCTTTCATGAGTTATCTGCTTATATCCTTTGACCAATTTTTTTTCTTTTTTTTTTTTAAATATGGTTTACTGTCTTTTTCATGCTATTTTTTAGTGAATTCTTATGTGTTTTAAATATGAATCCTTTTCAGCAACCATAATTTGTATGTATCATCTCCTTCTTTGCCATAAGCCTTCTAGCTTTATTTGTGGTAGCCTACTAGAGGCATACCTTGGATATACTGCAAGTTCAGCTTCAAACCACCATGATAAATATCACAGCAAAGCAAATCACACAAATTTTTTGGTTTCCCAGCACGTATAAAACTTAAATTTTAAACTATCTGTAGTCTGTCGTACATAGTATGATAGCATATGTCTTAAATAACTGTACAAACCTTAATTTAAAAATACTGCTAAAAAAGCACTAACCATCATCTGAGCCTTCAACAAGTCACAATCTTTTTGCTGGTGGAGGTTTTGAAAATTTCAAGCATTAACTACAATGTGACACAAAGGTAAGAAGGGAGTAAATGCTGTTGGAAAAATGGTGCTGATATACCTTCTTGACACAGGTTTGCCACAAACCTTCAGCTTGCTTTTAAAAAAATCATTATTGGCAAATAATTAAAAAGTTAAACACAATACAGTGAAGTACAGTAAAATGAGACATGCCTATATATGTCTACAGTGAGCCTAAAATCTTTAGTTTTGAGATCTTCTTTAAGAAATCCTTACTCCAAAGGCATAGAATTATGCACCTACTATTAACTTTCTAGTTTTAGCTATATCTGTCTTGGAGTTTATTCCTATACATGGTGTGAGGTAAAAATCCTCCAGAATGAGTCAGTTTTGCAACAGTGTTTACTAAAAATTCATTTTTTCCCATTAATTTGTAGTCACCTTATCATATTGAAAATGTACATTTTAAATACATAATTGTTTAAAATAACAGTTGTTTAAATTGTTATTGTTTAACAGTTGTTTAAAATAACAATTATGGATTTAAAGAAAAAAAAAGATAGACTTTTATATTGACCCACATATTTGACATTTCTGATGGGTTTTATTTCTTCCTGAAGACCCAGGTTTCTTTTTGGTGTTATTTTCCTTCAATCTGACAAGACTTCCTTTAGTATTGTCCTTTGCATCTCATGATAACAAATTCCTATTTTTCATTTATCTGAAAATGTCCTTATCTTTTTTTTTTTTTTTTTTTTTTTTTACAAAGAATCTTTTTGCCAGAATATAGATTCTGGGTTGATATCTTTTAGCACTCAAAGAAATGGCCTGTTCCTCTGTTTTCCTTTTTCTGATGAGAAGTCAGGATTCATTCATTTATCATTATCCCTGTAATTTATTGTTTTATCCAGGTGCTTTCAAGGTTTTCCTTGTCTTTGGTTTTC